TGAAGCGTCGACCATTTCTGGCCAGCAACTTTCAGCGTCATTAAGCCGCTGCGCCATCGCGTCCCCTCTTTTGAGAATAAGACTAAACTAAATGTATGACTTCAAAAGGATAACCAACACTTATGGAAAACTGGAGAAAGAGGTTACCAAAGAACAAACTTTAGGCAACTGTTTTTGTTTTGTTTTTTTTGTTTTGGTGTGAACTTTGGGGGAGGACAAAATTCAAGAAGACAATGTTCAAGTATCCTGCTTGTTCAAGGCTCTAGAAAAAATCAGAAACAACGGACCCTTTGTTAAGATTGTTAAAAAGCTTGAAATCAAATACAACTGATGAAGATGACCTCCAAGTTCAGTAAGCCAAATGGATTATCTTCAAATGTTGACAGGAAAGCCTTGCACATCCTACCTAGCAGGGAACCTAGAAAGAACTGAAGACTAGTCCTATGACTGATAAATTCATGCAAATGGATCCCACTCTGTAAAAAAACACCATTAGAGATGTAAGACTTTCAATGTGAATAGAAAAGTAATACTGGGAAAACAAAAGAGCAAAAAAAAGGAGGGAGGAGAAACACAGAGATATTTCAATTTTTCCTCTGCAGCAATGTAGGGGAAAACTTCTTCAAAAGTTAAAAAAGTATAGGAGAAGCTGATTCTATGTTTGGCATCACATAGGGAAGAAAGATGACATATACAGTTGTTGCTGCATCAAGACTTCTAGTACAAGGATTTTGTAACCATATGCTGACTGGTGTAATAATTCTAGTGTGGTGAATGAGCCTGATACTCAATAGTCTTTGGGAGGAGACCCATATTCAATAGGAATGTTAGTACCACCCTGAAATACAGACCAAACTTCTTTGCTCTCTGCCGGTGAAGAGAAATGCATAAAGCATGCTATCTGAGAGCAAAACCCAATAAAGCAGACACATTATATATAGACAATCACCATACGCTGGCACAGAAAATCCCACAAAGCTGCGCCATGTTTTCTACGGCACAATTAAGCTATGTTAGTTAAAAGACAGAAATCCATCTCAGGAAATGATATGGAGGCCTTTAGCATGCTCAAAACAGTGACAGGTATTTCTGGAAAGATCACTCAGGAGGCCACATTTTGCCACACTACATTATTTGTATACCTTCACCAGACAAAACTTCATTTTCTACTCCTTTCTCCTCCATAAAACATTTTTATGGAAGAGAACTGGAATCTATGGGGGGATATTCCCCCCTTTATTCTTCCTACCAAACAAGAAGTGATCCTCCTTTTCTCCAGCTGCTCAGGCATCACACCTGCAAAACTGCTGCATCCTCAGAGAGACAGTTTTTGTGGTGCTTTGCATGTTCCAGCCACAAGTTAGAAAGGAGGCACAAGTAAATGTCTTACCTGCGTAGCATCTTTGCTTTCAAGGCATCTTTTGTCTGATTCCAAGCTTCCAACTCTGGAGATGTTAAAGCTGTAGGTTTCATGTGATCCAAGACGGTGATGTCTTTTCCTTGTTTCCATAAGTCATACCGTTCAGGCTGTAGCACCCGTACAAAAACATCCATAGAGATCTTCACGGTATCTTTCCGGCACGTGCACTGAAAAAACAAATTCAAGGCAGCCATCATTCTAATATCACAAGGTAGTAAGCCTGGCTGACAGAGCAGGGGGTTGAGAGAGAGAGATAAATTTCACATTTCAAATAATAGCAGTATTTTTATTAATTTTTATTAAATAATTTTTATTATATTATATGAATAAATAATAGCATTATATTCAAATAACATTGACTATAGAATATTATTAAGCATTTCCTGAGCAGAAAATGAAACACTGATTAAGAAAATCTTGCCAGGGTCTCACTCCAGAAAAAGTTGTGTGCAGACTGTGAAACAAGAGAGAAGCACAGAGGAGCAGAGAAGCATTGAAGGACAGAAAAGCATAGTGGTAGTAAAAAGCTGAAGAAAGGATTTCAGTAGGTGGGAAACTATAAGTCAAGCACAAATAAGTCAAGAGCAGAGAGATGAAGGAAGGATGGGGGGAGGCAGAAGAGGCCTGGCTGTCCAGGAGATTAAAAAATGACAAGGAATAAGGAAGATTGGAGAGAAGAAATCCTCAAGACAGGAGGAGATGGAGACTGTTCAAGATACAGAGAGCATAGGCTGTAGTTTGGGACTGCAGAACAGAGATAACGAAGAGGCACAAGTGTTTTCACACACAGATTTAACACTAACTAGTCAAGCTAAGCAGATTGCCATCTTGGTTCTCGTTTTGTGCATAAAATACAAACATATTTATGAACTTTGAAGAAGCAGGATAGAAATAGTATTGATGCTTTTGAACTCTGATGTTGAAGCAGACTCCTGAGAATATCATGGACAGCCAAGAAAATGATCAAATTGATCATGGAACAAATCAATCCAGAGTTCTCACTCAAGGCACAAATGACCAGGCTCAAATTATCCTACTTTGGACACAGTATGCAAAGACCTAATGCTCTGGAAGAGTCCATAATGCTGGGAAAGGTGGAAGGAAAAAGAAGAGGACAACCAGCAGCAAGGTGGATATATTAGTTACAGTGGTGATGGGTGCACTGTTAGAAGAGCTGAAGGACCAGGTTAGGCACAGATCATCCTGGAGGAAATCTAGCTATATGGTCGCTAAGAGTCAACACCAACTTGATAGCAAATAATCAATCCACAAAGACAAGCTTGAGCAGGGTGGTCCTCTCTTTCCAGGTTTCTTCTGGCCCAGGTTCTTTTTTTTAAGGGCTGCTCCCCTCACTATTTTCTCCATTTCAGAGAAGAGGCGAGGGAACTACTTTCTGCCATGCAGTGAAAAACAAGCATTGAACTAGAGAGCAGTAATAACCAGCCTGAGCCAAGGAGGGAGGGAAATATTTATGGCCCACCAATTTCCAGCACACCCAATTTGCTTAATGAAAAATTGCAGAGGAAAGAAAGTTTTGAGAATGTAATTTGGCCAGAGAGACACAGAACCACAGATGGTGCCCGTGTTTCAGATTACTGGCTGGGCTGAAGATCTCCCCAGTACCTCCATCAATGGTGGCTTAAGGGATTTGTATCGAGCAGCTATCTGATTTTTTTTCCTTAAGTAATTAAAAAAGGTGCCTTTAGTCTGTTTCTGGAAGGTGGGGAGGGAGGGAGGGAGGTGGGGAGGGAGAGACAGTGAGGCTTGAGCTTGGAAGAATCAAGGTATTTCCACATTAGATGCCTTCCTTCTGTGTGTAGGAGGAAAACTGAGATCAAGGAGATACACCCCACCCCAAGACACCAGTTGCTAATTAATCTGGATCGTAATAGAAATCACCAGCAAAGAACTAAAGTGGGCAAGGATGCACCCAGTAGGCCATAGAGACGACGGAATCTATGAGAATAGCCTTGCAAAGGAGTCCATAAAACAGCCTCCTCTCATGTAGCATTCTGCAGATGCCCTGGGGTTATGACTCAGAATTCTCCAGCCAGCAAGGTGGCCTGGATTTTTAGCAGTCACAGTCGCAAACTTTCTAGAAGCCATCAGACTGAGTAGAGATTGCCATAAAACAAGGGTATTTTAGCCCAGGGGTCAAGATAAGGCTGGCACATTTGCAGGGGGGTGGCCACAGCCCAGTAGCAGATATACCCTACAGCTTTTTCCTTTTAAACTTTTTAACTTTCATCAATTCCCTTCAACCACGATTATCTTGGTCTTTCCCTTCCTGTGACGCATTCTTCATACTTCATGCAGTATTTCTGTTTTTTAAAAAATTTATTCTCATTCTCTCTATATGACTAAACCGACTCAACATGGTTATTTTGTGCTGTTCATTCCCTTTTGTATTCAGTCCACATTCATTCAGTAGTGATTCAGTCTTGACCCTAAATCAACTCTTCATGATTTACCATATGCACTTCTCAAGTTCCCAATTTCCACTGCATTCAACTTCCTTTTATGCTTCCCCTGACATATTCAACCCCCACTTCCATATAACACAGCAGGCAGAAGCACACTCTCACATACAGCCATTCTGCTGCTTTTGACAAACATTCACTCCTTGCAAAAGGCAAAAAACCAACCGCTGGCTTTCTGCCAGCACTTGTGGGCCTCACAATTTCTCTGTCCATTTCCCCATCTTCAGTAAATGTTCTACCAAGGTACACAAATTCATCCACTTGCTCTAGTTTTTTTGCAGCTTATACGTAACTTCCAATTGTTCATTCCATTTTTTCTGTCAAATACAACTGAATCAAATTATTTTCATTACATGAATGTAATCCCATAATTCTACATAAATTATAACTGACTTATTAATATGAAATTTTTGGGGAAAATCATCTCTCTCTCCCCCTCATTTTTAAAGATTATTATACATCATTTGTTTTACGTCCTAAAGGGAAAAAATGGGCAGGGGTGGCTTTGTTTCTGGCTTCCAAATATTCAAAAATATTACTTCTCTAGGAAACCTACACCACTACACCAAGAAAAAAGCTGAGCCAAGTTTTTTTTAGAAGATCAAAAAAAAGTTCTGTTGGCACCTATTGCAGTAAAAGCTTAAGTGATAAGTTTCACTTCACAGCTGATGGATAAAAGGTAACAGAAATTAAGTATTCCAAGCAAATAAATTGCAAGATGATTAAATGAAAACAATTCAGCCAGCTAAACTCACACAATCTATTAAAATGCCTAGAGTGATGCCAAGAAATGCACAGTATCTATGCCAACTGAACCTCCCCTGGATGGAAGGGACCACCCTTGGGAGGGCAATTCAGAGTTCAGGCTCCATCACAGAAGAAGCTGCTGAGCTCCTAATACACCTCCCTGTAAAACTACAGATGCAGAAGGGCCTCATCTGACAATCTTAAAACAGCACAGAGAACAGCTGGCTGCTCGCTTGTAACTGGAGTTATGCCAGAGCTCATTTGGGCATTTACACCACAGTGTTTGTGCCTGGGCAGATCTTCATTCCAGAATATCGTTCGGCTGAGTTGAATTGACAGGAACCCACCTACTAATACTTTAAATAGTGCCCCCCCATCTTTACAGATCCTCTCTCGTCACACTGACCAACAGCAAGTAAAATAATGAGCGAACTAGAGAGGAGAAGACATTACGGTTGTGTAAAGGAATAGAAGACAACTAAAATAACCCCTAGTTGTTTCAAAGCAGTCTTTTGTTATGCTGTGTGATCTCTATGCGTTAAGATGGAGTTTAGACAGCCTTATGAGAGGACAAAAAAAGGCGCATCTGCTGTGGGCCTGACATTCAATAGGCAGTGCCTTACAAAGATAGATGGACTGGACCTCACTACAACCCTGCAAGTTGTGCAAAGCGGCATGCTTCAGAAGTGACTCTAACGGAATGGCCTCTGACATCATCTACTGGTAAGCCAGAGAAGTTATATGAACAATCAAGTGCATAAAACCTTGAGAGAGGCCATGTTGACAACCAGAATGGCAGTTACTGGATTGGCAGAAAGATTTGGTTCCATGCAGAGAAGGATCCAGCTGGTTAGCACAATTAGGAAAGAGAAGAGGTAACACATTATCTATAGCCATATGGAATGTGTACACATTTAGAAGAATCATATAAATATCTGGCTTTTAATGCCAGATCAGGTAAGATAGGCCTGCCTGTAAAGTGCAAAGATCACTGGCCTAATAGATGTGGCTACTATCAAATGCACAAAATGTTCAGCAATGCTACAATGACAGTGGGATGACCATTTAACCCTGTAAAATCACGCACTAAGAGCATTTAGGAAGCTTCCAGTACTTTGGGATGAAGAAAGAACAATTTGAGGTAAACTTTCCACACTGTTAGGTGAAATGTCAAGAAGCTGACATGGAAATCCACTCTTGCTCTTGAGACAAAGTTCGTGGGACATGCATGTCACTAAATGAAAGTGCTCCACAAAACACAGCATCTGGGGCCACTGTGATCCATTCTGCCCCCAGAGGTGCAATTGGCCCCCTCACTCCTGGCCTTCCGTAGGGCTTTGAAGACCTGGTTCTGCC